ACCAACAAATTCGGGGGTACTTTTCTTATCAGAACGATCAGTGTGAATTTTCCAAGCTGCCGTGCCTTCGTAATCACCATTAGACTCATCCAACTCTTTCCGAAACCTTTAAAATTACAAATGAATATTACTTGCATATACTAGACTATTGCTTTTTTCCTCACAACTCTACATAATTATTTTGCAAACATTGTTTCTATCTATCTATCTATCTATCTATCTATCTATCTATCTATCTATCTATCTATCTATCTAACTGTTGGGACTAATAAAACTCATGCACAAGGCCACAATTAGTAAATTTTAAAACGCATTGTCACTAATATAAAGGAAAAAGTTTCAACAGTATTTATCCAGTCCCCCTAGTGATATAGAAAAGCAATAACTGGACGCCCACGATCATTTCCGCATGTTGTTTAAATACCCCCCCCCGCCCGGGTGCAGCGTTCTGTACGTTGTTTTCAGTGCTATTTTCTCTTTGCGTCTCAGGTGCACATTGATTTGCAGAAACGGATGTCCGCCATTAACAGGAACTCTTTCTTTCAATTCTGATGGCTGTTGGTCATGCGTTGATGAAATTAATTTAAAAATTGATTGTATTTTTTTTTTCTTTTCTCATTTTTCTCATTTTTTTGCCCATTTTTCATCCGTTCATTCACGCATTTATTTATTTACTATGTTTTCCCTTCTTAAATGTTTACTATTTTTATTGCTTTTCCCAATTTTTTTGTATTTTCTGTCTCTTTGCTGTTTTCCCTTAATTTTATTGTTATTTTAACATGATTCCTTTTTCAGTCATTATTCTTTTAGCTTTCGTTTTTCATTCTCTGATTTCCCTTCATGTCAGATGTTCTCTCCTAAATGCAATTTTTCACTTAAAAGTCGTTTTTTCCTTTGCTCCTCGTTTTGAAATGTTTCTTACTTTCTTCTTTTTGTAGAGTAGCTAGCACCTCTTCAGCACTCTACCAGATCGCCTGGCTCATAATCTTAAATAGTCTACGATTAAGGACTTCAACAGCTGATTAATAGGTTGATTAATAAAGTTGATACTAAGCTGATTAATATTCAGACTAATCTTACTTTATTTGGCTGTACAGCATTTGACCCTTCTCTATTCCTTGTAAGTTGTCTTGTTAATTGTTTTGTAACTTATTGTTGTGATTTTTGTATGTATCCGTTAGCACCTGATACTGGTACTGAATAAATATATTAAACATTCATTCTTCTCTGTGTATGATTCACCTCGACGATACAACACTTTTCAATAAAATGTTTTACATTTTTTGTTTGAATATTCTTTCACATTCCTCTTTAATTTTGAATATTAATTCTATTTAAATATTAATCTGAATTATTTTTTTTATTTCAGAATACTTATATGTTTTAATCTCTTTAAAGAAAATGGAAAGAACAGAAAAATGAGTTGATATGAAGAAAACTGAAGAAAGAACAATAATTGATAAATGAAGCAAACAAGTGTAAAAACAAATAAAACGATATATGTAAAGAAGGGGAAATATAGGTGAAAGAAAATCATGTATATATGAGGGGGGAGTAAAGAAATGAAAGTGTGTGTGTGTGTGTGTGTGTGTGTGTGTGTGTGTGTGTGTGTAGTGCAAGTATAGTGTTTAGGAGGGAAGAAAGAAAAGCAAAAAGACGCTAACAAGATCCAGCGGGAAGAGAGAGACAATCGATGGTGTGTACAGAAAAAATGAAGTCGGATCAGTTGAGTGGGTGTTAACATCGTGAATGATCTACGAAGTTTGGTGATGATAATCGATCGCAAACAGGACACTTGACTGAGCATGCGATTAAATTTGCACCAACAATGGTGTCTGGAACATTTGAGGATCGTTTGTGGAAAAAAGAAAAAAAAAAGGGAAAAATGATTACAAAAAAATAAAAGAATTTAAAAATATAAAAAAAAGATAAACTTCTGATAGAGACCGGAATAAGCAATTTCCGCTGCGGTAAATTTAAGGAAATGAAGAATGATTGGTTATTTCGGATTGAAAAAGAAACAGAATAAGACTTCTTTGATTCATGGGAGTTTTTATAATTTTTTGTAACTGGTTGAGCTTATGCAATGCACGTGGATTCATGTTTCTCTGCTCGTATTTTACATTTTGGGTCACACATACCGAAAAGCTTTCACTATTCCTAGAGTGAGTGTGTGTGTGTGTGTGTATATCTATATATATATATATATATATATATATATATATATATATATATATATATATATATATATATAACTATTCTGATGAGGTAATTTTAGATTTCTGTATTATGCTATATATATATATATATATATATATATATATAATACAGAAATCTAAAATTACCTCATCACAATAGCTATTTCAACCAAATGTTACTACGTTGGCATTTTTAGACTCAGTGTGTAGATATAAATCAGAAATTATTAGATTTTACTGTTTTCACACATATTTTTTAAATTTAAAAATAAAAATCTTGAATTTTAATTTTTTAATGTTATTTTTTCTTGATATAAACTATCTAATTAAGATTTGCTGATCTTGTATCATTTGCTAGCATATTTTTAATAAAAAGGAGAAAATATATATTTTTTGTTTTTGTTTTAGAACTATTAACTTCTTATTTCTTTTTTTTAAATTGTTTGATCACGGTGTCTTTAAATTTATGATTTAATTTCACTCTGACTTGGGGTGTTAAAATTTAAAGATCAAGGTTTCCATTTAAGCCATACATTATCCGCTTCTCCGTTCCACAATATTGTTGATTGGGTTAAGTTAATATTTGTGGTTTCAACGGCGGACTCCTCCTTCCATGTTTTCTTTCGCTTCTTCTTTCTTCTTTTTTCCCTTTTCTTTTTTTCTTTTTTAAATGTTTAATTTTTAAATTTCCGACTTTATATCTACACATTATCTGAGTTCAAAAATGCTAACGTAGTAATGTTTGATTGAAATAGTTATTCTTATGAGGTAATTTTGAATTTCTCTACTATGAAATTTATATGCTGTGTTATAATAAATACACTAAGCTATTTTTGTGGATCAGTTTTAATATTTTATATTATTAGGATTCACTTGGATTATGTACCAACGGATTATTACCTCTCTCTCTCTCTCTCTCTCTCTCTCTCATATATATATATATATATATATATATATATATATATATATATATATATATACACACACAAATGAGAGAAATCATTGCCTGAAGAAATAAAATCATTGTATTGAAACATGAAATCTTTTGTGTAGCGATTTGAAAATATTTTTATTATAATCTCTTATAATAAAAATATAATATACATATATAATATATATATATATATATATATATAAAAGAGAGAGAGAGAGAGAGAGAGAGAGAAAGGAAGAAAGTGAATGAGACATTCAGGCCGGTAAATGTTGTTTAATACTGTTTATTATAAACAGAGCATTTACTTAAATATTTGTATCTATAAAAGAATGTATAAACATAAAAATGTCTTTATATATATATATATATATATATATATATATATATATATATATATATATATATATATATATATATATATATACATATATATATATATATATAGGAGAGAGAGAATAGTAGAAACAGAATGAGAAATTATATATTTATGTATGTATATATATATATATATATGTACCTCCACTTGCTCGCTGAAAAAAAAACACCATAGCATGATGAATGAGGGCGCTAAACTTATTAAAAACAATTTTATCGTCAAAATGTTTATGTTATGATTAACAGGAGAGAAGAAGGTATTTTTTTTTATTATTTTATTAATTTTTTAATCTAGACTCGAAATTTTGCTTAAAAACCTTGTTTTTTTTTATTTACGTCAGCAGTCCGCGTAATATTTACTAGTGTTTTAGCGTCTTTTTTTTTTCAGGTGAAAAACACATTGATTTGAAAATTCTTGCAAAAATCAAATATTTGTAGAATTTTAATGAAACTTTCTGGACTTATTCACAAATGTTTTAAATTATTTTATTTGTTTTTAGAATATCTCGGTAAAACATATTTTTTATATATGTAACTTCCTACTTACTTAATTCCATGAAATTTCGAGAAATTAAATTTCAATCTTAAAATTCTCATTGGAGAATTGAAGTCATCAGTTTTTCTTTGTAAAACAGAATACCCAGTTACAGAAAATCTGCTCTGAATCGCAAAATAAAAAATACAATAAAACGATAACCTTATTTAATTAGAAAAGTTTTTAATTGCTTTTATAAATAAGATTTATTAAGGCACTATTGAATTAAGAAAAAAAATTTCGATGAATAATAAATTTTTGCAAGAATTGTTTTAATTCTTAGTAAATTTAAATTATAATAATTTATAATATTATAAATTGTTTAAAATTCTGCATTACTTCAATCTGGTTAGGTGATATTGTTATGAAGTGAAAACTATATTTATGAATCAAAAATTGAAAAGCTCAATAAAAGTCGTTTACAACCAATATTTTTTTTTAAATTACTTAACGTGCTCGTTTGAAAGTATGGTCGACTATACACGACATAATCAGAAAATAATTACTTAGAGATAGAGCGCTTATATTTTAGAGCATATATTTTTCTTTAATTATATTTACCGAATATTCAGACTGGTAGACGAAAATATACCGTTTAATAAATAAACGGACCACTACTCAAATATGTGTATTCAATAAAAATAACGTTTAAAGTTATATATATATATATATATATACACGAGGTGTCAATGGGAATAAGAATTGATTGATTTGTGTTTTTACGACTTATCAACCCACTGCAGGTTATTTGAAGACAGAAAATATTTTTTGGCTATAAGAATTTTTTGAGATAATAATGATTTTACTGATACAATTTCTATTAATTAAATCGTAGTCGGGGAAAAATATGTGGATTATAGCTTTCCCAAGTAAGTTAGTATAACGAAGCCGATTGGAACTGGAACTCTCCGATCTCCAATTTTGAGCCGTTATCCGTTACACCATCTGGACATTCAAGCTTACAGCACTTGGTATTCCAAATCTGTCCCCCATGTAGGTACTGAGCAGGCTCAACGTTACTTAACTTCGGTGATCGTACGAGAACTGGCGTTTCAAAGTGATATGGCCGTAAAATAAGAATAATTATTATTCATTGGATTCAGTTTGAACCATTTTATTTTCATTATCATGTCTGATACAATTGCCCGTGCGTCTGTTGGCTTAGAACGCCGACATAATCAAGCGGACTGTAAAGGCTTGATCTGGGTCTGAAGTGACTGGTGTTTTATGATTGTATCGTCAGTAAAATCGAGATGCTTGAACTTTTATCAACTCTCCACTGTCCACAAGTGGAAAAAAAAGGAAATAAAGTAAATATTTAAATAAATGAAAAAGATGGGAAGGAAAAACAACGGTAAGATCAAAACAGAAAGAAGAAGGAATTGATAAGAGAAAGTAATGTACAACGAATGCAATATATAGATGGATGTACAAATAATGTAACGGTTATCGGAGGGGAAAGTGAAATTGTCGAGCCGTGTTCAAATTCGATTCGATTCTGTTTTTGGTCACTTCATGCCTATTCCCTTGGAAAATGGATTTATCCATTTTCCTCTGGCTATGGGCTAAACAACAGGCAGACTGGGATCCTTTATCTAGGGAGGCAGGTAGTCTAAGCGAAAGAAAACTCTAAAAGAAAAATCTGTGAGCAAAATTGAAGAGGGCCGTTTGGAAGCACACTGGGCACAATTCCTTTGTTATCAGTTCTTCCGTAAAGTGTGGATGGCTTTACACAAGCCTTCACCAATATAATTAAATCATCTGTATAGAAAATCTAATAGTTCAGTTTAAAATCAGAACTATTGGGTTTCAACGAAATCGCGAGGAGAGTCTTTTGTTTGATAAAATATAGTTTTTAAGGTAAGCTATATTTATGAGCAAAAAACGATCCTATGTAAATGTAATTAAGCTGGACTTCGATATTAACACTGCATGATGTGAGTCTGTTTCATGATTAAACTCAATAATCATGTCTGTCAATTGTTTCTAATCATGAAACAGAGTATCGCCATATAAAAGCTGGAGTCGGGATGCTGAAGATAACATCAATCAGCTAAGTGACAAAACAATATATATATATATATATATATATATATATATATATATATGTGTGTGTGTGTGTGTGTGTGTGTGTGTGACTTGTACTGAGAATTGTACTGAGAATTATCTTTTGTACTAACAATTTTCTATGAATAATTTGTACTGAGAATTATCTTTTGTACTAACAATTTTCTATGAATAATTTTTGAGAATACCCTTAAAAATGTTTCTTTTTTCCTTCAAATAAAATAATAGAATCCTTGTTATATACTTCTGGATATCGACTAAGTTTAACTTAGTACAATACGTGTACACATGAAGGGAAATGGCGGTAGGGAGATTGTGTTTTGCTAATATACCACATGAAGAGTGTCTACCTTCGAAATTCTGACTTATTCTTAGCCTCAATCTCAGACCGTTGGCCCTAAGGAAAAATAAGCAACTATTTCAGCCATGAACCAAGCCTACTTGTTCTACTTCTTTATTGACTGTCTACGTGGCACAACATGTCTCTCGCGAGGCATTGATGTAATTTGAAACGAATTACACGAGTCTATTTGTTTAAGCACCATAAAAACACACTTTTATATGTGTAGATTATCATTAATGGGCTATAAGAACGATGTGAGAAAATTGTAGGTAAAAACTGACATATATTATTTTTGTTTTTTATTGAATATTAGTACATGTTTCGGGGTTTCTATTCCCTTCATCAGTAACAGATTTACATTTGTTTAGATTTTAATTGTTGGCACATGTTTCGGGACTTCTTTTCTCTTCATCAGCAAGAGATTTATATTGATTTAATTTTAGATTCAAATATAAAAGAACATCTTTACACTTGTAACGAATAATGATTCAATTTTTAGGAAAGTTTTCTTTCGTTATTGTGTCTCTGTAAGATTCATTTTAGCTTTACGTTTTCTTATTACTTTTTCAATTTTTATTTCTCTCCCTATACTAGACTACTACTACTAATAATAATAATAATACGAACTAGATATCACCGTGGTAGGTACACAAAAAATTCTCCTTATCGTCGTGACTGCGATCTGAGGTCATACGACTTGATGCAGAACACCTATAATGTTGAAAACAAAAAACTATGCGGCAGAAATTACAACGATAATAATAATAATAATAATAATAATGAGAAAAAAATTCATAAATAATATAGGTGATAATCAACACACTCAAAATAAATAAATAAACCTTTTTTGGATTGGTTGACATCCTTAATAGGAAGGAGAATGAACAGTATGAAAAAGAATTAATATGTGGTAAGTTTTTGTCGTAAGTCATTGTGTTCTTCCAGAGCCGTATTTCTCTGAATGTTAAATACTTTCTAATTACTTCAAATACTCTTTGTGTTTAAAAAGAATGTATTTTATATTAAAATTAGTATTTTAAATGGGTAAACAATTTATCATTTTGCTGCCACTGAAATAGTGGGGACTGAACTAGTTTATATATAAATTAGGAATGTGTTTAAGCAAAATGTATTTTATTGGATTAGTTTATTCATTTTTTTTAATTTTTTTAAAAATCAATTCACTCCAAGCAAGGCGATAATGCCACTAAGATGCAAGAGTCTACTGGGAGTGGAAGAGAACCAAAACACTTTAGAAGGAACCGGGAATCCAATCCTAAACTGGAAACAAGGGATAAAACTTCTACTTTTCTTCAAAAATTCAGAAAGGAGTATGAACCCGGCGATAGGCGAACATATCTACTCCTATTGAGGAAAAATTAAATAAATAATAAATAAAATTTCTGAGTTTAAGCAGAGACGTTAGAAGTATAGAGTTGAAGTAGACTTTGGAAGGAACAGGAAAGCCAATCCTAAACAGGAAACAATGGATAACTCTCTACTCCAGTTCAAAGGACAGGAAAGTGGCTATGAACCGAATGATATGGGAACCTCTCTACTCCTATTATTTTTAATTCTTGATTTATACAAATGTCAGTTTTTGGTCTAAAATGTTTAATCGGTTCTCCGGCGTTTATCAACTCTTTTTTTTTATCCACCATGCATTTATTGGTCCCCTATGAATTCCAAGCATTTATTGTCCCCATTTTTACAGACAGGCATTTATCGATGTCCTTCCTTTAGATTCTTATGTATTTATCGACCCGCTTTTGACTTCCAGACAATTACCGACACCCACGGATAGTTCACTCAACCCCAGGGGTCGATGTCAGTCATTTTGAGGGCGCCTGATTTTGATCACAACTTAGCTAGCTCCGTATTAGGGAACAACTTGATTCACCTTCATAAACATACGCAATAGGGCACTCTGACGTGGTGTAATGGTTAGCAAGCTTATCTTGTTAGATCAATTACGACTGAGTAGTAATTTCGATCCTCATTGGGTACCCCGTACTTTCGTCGATGAGCCACAACAAAGCAACGCTTAGTAAGGTGCACTTCAACGTGCTTAGTGTAATAGTTAGCAAGCTTGTCTCGCTAGAACAATTTCGACTGAATAGTGAGTTCGATCCTCACTGGGTGTCCCATAGTATCGACCTTGTGACACATGTAAGCTACGCCTGGAAAATCATCTTTGGGCACCTCGAGGCGGTGTAATTGTTAACAAGCTTGTCTCGCTAGAACAATTGCGACTGAGTAGTGAGTTCAATCCTCACTGGGTGCCCCAGACTTTCGGCCTTGGAAAATCACTATACATACGCAGTGGGTGCATGAACTAGAGTAATAGTTAATAAATTTGTATTGCAAAGCATTCCCTTGAGTATTTTCTTTGATGACTGACCATTCCGAACAGTTTATCCTGTTTTTGCTTTAAACTAAACTTTTATTTGGTCTAATTAATTAACATCTAGCTTTTCTAACTCGCCATCCCAAAGAGAATCTTCGACTTCTTTCGACTTGCCATTCCTTTGCTCTACCGCTGAGTCATTGCAGTATGCGCGAGCGTCTCAAGTAGAAACATTCAAGCATGCTTTGTAAAAGTGAACGGTTCGATACACATACAACTGCGCTTGCAACCTACTTGGCGCACATGGGCAACCGTTGCTCATCTGAATTACATAAAAAAGAACGAAAACGAAATGCAAATAAAATAAAAGAGACAAGAAAAGAAAACATGAGCTTCCTCCCCTACCAAACTAGACTTCAAAGAGATAAACGTAACGTTAACAAACAGGCGGTCTGTACAAACTGACATCTCATTCCGTTTCTCAACTGCCGTCGACATCTGCAAAAAACAAACAAATAAATAAATAAACAAATAAATAAGTAAATATATAAAAATTCATTTATCTCAAATTCAATCTTTTTTTTTTTTTTTTTTTATTCGATGAAAAAAAATGTTGATTTTTATTTCAGCTCCGAATTGTTATTTCAGGATAACTGAAATTGTGTAAATTTAAAGCTCAGTTGCTTTTGTTGTTCGTATAGTAGGAATATTACCTGTAGATATTTGGTAAGTGGGTTGTATATATTTATGTGAGAATAACAATTGCAGTTGAATGGGAAGAGTGGGATTAACCTAAATTGTCTGCCAGGGGACTTCTTTTAATTTCAACACCTGTACAAAGGTGTATAAAAGAAAATGACTTGAAAATATTTTGCTCTCTTCGACCACAGGCTGTCATAATGACAAGATATGTTTCGCTTCCCCGGACGAACCAATTGTTATTCAACCAAATCACATGACGCATCGAGAGCGCGTGCGCGCACACACACACACACACACACACACACACACACACACACACACACACACACACACACACACACACACACACACACACAGATAATCGCATAAATATAATTATTTTTTAAAATTATGTTAACCAGAGACGCACATTTTCTTTATTAATGCTATCAAGTGAACATGCCGGTAGACACAATTCACGCTGATAAAATAAAAGAGCAGAGCGTCTATTCAAACATGGGTATTCACACAATACCATTTGGTGCAGTAATATATATATATATATATATATATATATATATATATATATATATATATGGGCACCTCCAAAGATTAGCTTATGCATTGCATATAT